TCTCGTTTTCTGCGCTTGCCCTCTTCGCCTCCTTTGCCCCCTTCTGCATGTTGTTGCTTTCGCGCATCTACTCTAATGCTTGTGCCCGTGTGATTGCGCATGTCTGCTCCACCCCCTTTTGTCTCGTTATATGTCTCTTTTCTTCTGTATCGTTCTCTCATTTTCTTTTTTAAAATGTCTCACTGCATGTATTTCCCTGTCTCTCCCCCACACACAAATCTGGACATGTACACACACACACACGCGCGCACTAGTCTGGAACACTCTGCGGTGCCAATCCCTCTACTGACTCGGTCGTGTCCGAGACGCTGGACACGATGATGGCAAAACCGCCAGTCTTTTGCCTCCCACCAGGGCCGAGGCCATTGACAATGAGGAGGACGAGGACTGACAACGGTGGGGGGTGGGGGGAAAAAGAGAGAAAGAAAAGGGAGAGAGAGAGGGAGAGAAAAAACAAAGGGGACATACATACATACATACATATATATATATATAGCGAGAGAGAGAGAGAGAAAAAGTAATACAGAAGGCAACGGGAGTAAGAGAAATATTGTCATAACAAACAGAGAGAGAGAGAGAGAGAGAGGGAGAGCTATACATAACAAAGGGACAGAAAGAGACAGGGTCAGAAAGGATGGCCGCCCCCCACGCGCAAGTTCATGATTCTACCCCTGGTCATCTGACGTCGTCAGTACTTCACTATGATGACCCGCGGAGGTGCAGGCCACTTCCCCGGGACTGGCTTCTCACCTTGAACTGTGATTCGATTCGGCCCCGGGGCCCGATGGGGGCCCCCAAATGCCGCAAGTGGCGCGGCGCCTTCCCTCGCGTTTAACGCTGACTCGGCGAGGATGGCTCGCCCTGCGTTTCAAACTCTTCGCAACAAATGGTGGCGCGCGTTGTCCACGCCGGGCCTGGCAGCAGCGAGATGGGAGCCGAATGACAGAAGCCTCGGGGAGGACAGGGATGAAGACGGGGTGGGAGGAGGAAGAGGAGGAAGAGGAGGATAATGATAATAAGAAGGATAAGGCTAAGGCTAAGGCTAAGGATAAGGCCGTTGGGGTCTCGATGCCTGGCTTGCTTGAACGCGAGCTCGGCCCTTGAGAAAAAATGAAGATGCAACCCCGGTGTCTGTTCAAGTCGGCGGCCTGCCTGGGGTGCAGCGTCCCTCCCTCAGCAAGGGAATGGTCCGCATACGCCGCTAGCAAGGGGCCCTGCTCAAGAGAGGCTGAAAATAGGATTGCAAGAGGCGGGCGGCTACCGTTCACGGCGGCGCCCCCCCCCCGTGGGGCCCGGCACAAGTCTAGGCGAGCGGGGCACAGGCGCAGATCCTCCCACCACTCCCCCTTCCACCCCTCCCCGCCACGGAACCAGCGCCCCTTTCCCAGGAGCTGCTGCACGATGCGCCGACTCTTATCTCGGTGCGGGATCCTCTGCCGCGATATGAGACCGAGTGGCATGGACACCGAGGAACCAGGAGGAACACGGGAGAGGAGAACAGCCGAGGAACAGCGAGAGACAAACCACCAGCCGAAGCTCCCGACCAGGGGGGGGAGAGAGGGGAAGGGAGGACCACAGAAGGCGATGGGCTAGCGAACGATGTTGTTTTGGTGGTTCGCTTCTCTGCAAGGACCACGCGGCGCGCCAAACACGCGCTGACAACACGCACGCGTAGCAGGCATGTAGCTCCTTCGAGCAAGCGTCCTTCGTTTGGAATGTGCGCTCAAGCCGTAGCCCGTTGCATGATGTCGGGGAACTGCAAGTCCCCACGACCTGTGCATATTTCACACGCGCGGCCCATCACAGCACTAAGCGCGTCGGTTGTGCCCTCTCCCTCGGCCTCTTGAACACTTGGAAACTTGGCACAGCCTTCAAACATTGTGTCACATGTATCCCGATGTTGCAAAGGAAAAAAACTACGGGCTCTCTGCTATACGTGTGTGCTTGATTGATGATAGTAGGAAGAACAACTGCGTCGTGATCAAAATACCTGCCAACGCCTCTGCGTCTGCCGATGTCCCCGTTTCTGATAAAAAGAAAACCACTGCCAACTTCGAAAAAGCCTTTGGCCCGTTCTTGCCGCTACAATCTGCAAACTGTTCTCACCCGTATGGAGCTCATCTAGAGCCGACTACAATTGATCCAAGCAGCCTGCATTGCACATCGCGCCACTCCGCATTTCCAAATCAGTACCTTCTGAGCTACTCAAAACTAACTCATGTGTGCAAGCGGCGTTACGCTGTATGGACTTATGTCCGTTGGCCTCTGGTTCAGGGTCCACTTGAGGAAAAGGGCCGCGCGCTCGAAGAACAAGGCCTGCGCGCCCTCGCCCATCGCAGCACACATCATGGCGGCGCGGAGCGCCGACGATCCTGCAATAGCAGTGTCCCGGAACGCCGACATGGAAGCAAACAGTTATCCAATCACTCCCGCTCGGATCGTTGACCGCGCTTTGCGCGGGGCCGGAATAAGGCCAATGGCCCTGTCGCCCCCCGCTTCCCGGGGGGTCGCAGCTCCGAGCGCCGAACATAGGGGCGGCGGCCACGCCCCGCAAGCTTCGATGCCATTCAATAGACGCACCAATTGCTGCCTAGCAACCAAGGACTGTCGCTGGATATCAATGGGGCTGAGCACATCCGAGCCTTTGGCTTCCTTTGATGGAAGCACAGACGACGCAGCATCAACATGCGCGATCGCCATGGGCGGGGGCGGGGCCTCGCGGGCCGCCTGCAGACAACGATGCAACATATGCTGAAAATGCAATGGGCTGTCCACTGGACCGTGCCACATCACATTCCACTGCAAAGCAGACTGCCGAATCATTTCTTGCTTGTCAGTGGTCACCGCGCCCCAAATGTCGCGACCGGCCTACTCCAGTGGCTGCGGCTGCTTCGCGCGTCGACGCGCTGCCCTTGGCTTGGGGGCGCAATCCCCCTTGACCCGCTGCGCGAATGAGGCTCTCGAAGAGACGGAGGCCCTCGACGACCACAGGTCAGCCCACTTAAGTGCGCGACCAATCACATAAGAAAAATGGCCTCAAGTCTGCTGCCATCTCCTCTCCAAAGGGCGACAACCCCGGAATATGCTTCCCTGACAAAGTAACCGCCATGCTGCCAATCAGGCACCGTCCGATCTTGGCATGCACCTCGGGCGCGCAAAAGACAGCTTGATCAAGATCTGACTGATTGCGACGGAGAGCAGCGTGTCGGATGACAAAGAGTACTCACGCTACCCCACTTCACAGCCTGCCCGTGCTTCAGATGGGCTCTGCCCAGAGATGCCGCAACCTCGACCCGGGCGGGTCCAAGGCCACGGTCGCGACCAGAGTACGACTGCCAAGTCTCTGGGTCCATCTCTCCATTGAGGGGCACAGACCGTTCCAGTGCCGAAATCCAAGAAGAGCAAGGTATGTCAAAGTTAGCTCTAGCATCCTTTCTGCCAATCGGACACGGCGCGCTTGCTACGATCAATGGCAGAACACTTTGCCACGGACACAAACTGGGGTCTCGTCGAAAAAAGAGGGCACGCCCTCCTCCAAGATCTGCTGCTTCGTGGCCGCACATGTCCCCCCTGGACCACGCACAAGACAACGGCTGCCGATGGCTCGGCAAGCGGCTCCGGCTCGTCAGTGCCCTCGCGCGGCTCAGGAAGGAGAGCATGAAGGCGACGCCACCGTCACCCCCCGCGATTCTTCGTCCTTCTGCTCAAATTCAGACGCAACGCGAGGGCGCTCATGAACTGGATGCGGCTTCGGAACAGCAAGATGCTGATGCCACCTCTGCGCGCGCGCAGGCTCGACCTTGATAACAAGTCCACAATGCGTTCCCCATGGGGCGCGGAGCGCCGCTTGCAAGCCCAACCTTGGGCATCCCACGCTCATCGGACCGTTGTAATACATGCGCCCTGGGCCTTCGTCACGTGGCCCGGCAGCTCGGCTCGGCGCGACGACGGTCGCGCCCAGCTTGGTCGGCCAGCCCGTGGCTGCGAAGGCGCTAAGCTCAATGTTCCAGTCGGCAATGACGAGCCAGGGGTCCGCGAGGGCCCTCGCGAAGGACCCCGAAGCCACGAGCACGTCGCTATTCCAACCTCTCGCGCCAAGTCCCGGCAGCAGGCGCGCCGCAATAAGCGCGAAGTTGCCGCTCCTCGCGCGCAGGACTGCCGGCGCAACACGACAAGGGCCCTGGCGCCCCGCTGACCGAGATGCGGCCCGAGCGCTCTCAGAACTCGCAGCCGCGGTGTGTTTCTGGGTCAAGATGCATTCGCCACCCGACAGTCCAGCCTCGGAGCGACCAGAAAGGCGTGCATCAGAATGCGCCATCCCCCAGCCATCCTTACCAATCGACTTGCAAACCACTTGCATGTCATGGTCACCCTTGTGCATTTCAACGAAGGCCACAAAGCTGCGCTCCCGCCCCTGGGCCAAGAACCTGGCAGCCTGAGGCCCCCACTCCCCACTCCGCAATGTTGCCGAAGAAGATGCCAAAGGAACCCTGGTCCTCGAACAAACCATGTACAGGTGCAGTCGAAGGCGCAGCATCAGCAGGAACAGGACGCGACTTGCCGCCAACAGCGAGTCGCATCATCACCAGGAGCAGCAGCAGCCGCACCTTTGCCCTTGCCAACAGCGAGGCCCTTGCCTTTGCCAGCCTTGGCAGCGGTTTTCGCGGCAGAGGCCTGGGCAGTGTCCATGATGCGCTGCAGCATGACCCTCTGCTCACTCTCGGGGACAATCTGCTTGACCTTGCTGGGGGCCGCCGTAGGCCCAGCAGCTGACGTGGCCGCCGAGCCAGCGCCAGCGGGAACACCATCGCCTTTCTCACACCCCAAGAGCAAATTGCACGCGACGTCCCGCTTGCGCCTCTTGGCGGCAGCCTCCGTGTGCGCCGCTCTTGCCTTGTCGAGCATCGCTTGGAACTCCTTCTGCTTGGCCTCCGCTTGCCATGTGACCTCCAGCAGCTGCCCTTGGAAGGCCTCGAGAGCAGCCTTGTCCTCATCCTCCAGCTCGTCCATGCACTCGAAGAGGGCAGGGTCCGCCTGGAACAACTGCGACTGCTGTGAGCCACCCTGAACCTCCAGGCGGCGCAGCTCCGCGACCATGGCCGCGTCCGCCGCCTCGTCGAACTCCTTCTGAACCCGATCGAGGGATTGACGGGCGTATTTCAAACTCTTGGCGGCCTGCTCCACCGAGTCCTGCTTACGCGAACAGTCAGCCGTAGTCCCCCTTGAACATGGCGTGCGCAGGCTTGGCAGCGGGGACCGCCAACTGCTTCTTCGAGGACGCAAGCGCAGTGAACCCCGAAACCAAGCGGACCGCATCAGGATCCGACTGGAGCCCAACACCCACGAGCGCCTGCGACAGGTAGCCACCCAGTTTGGCGAGGGCTGGGGCACGCTGGGAAGACAGGCCGCCATGATGCCCTGAGCCGCTCGCCCATGGCGCCCACCATGTGCCGCTGGGAGACGTGGGCCAGCCTGGCATGGGCGACTGGCACATCGCGCAAACTCCATCGTGCCTCTTGACCCCCCAGTTCCACGCCCAGTTGCCGCAATGAGCGCAGGTCGAGAAACCATGTTTCGAAGACTGAGGCATCCGCTCCAGCAGGAACTCACAAAATTTACTGTGCCTGGCTGGGAAGACAGCCAAAGGAAGACGACGAACAATAGCCGAAGTGCACCGTGAGCGCGGACACGGGATCGCAGGCGGGGGCGCACCTCCCCCGTGCCAAACTCAAATCCTCAGAACCTCCCGCGACGGACCTGAGCCAAAATGGCTACGGAGGAGGATGAGGAGGGGGAGGGGGAGGAGGAGGAGGAGGAGGAGGAGGAGGAGGAGGAGGAGGAGGAGGAGGAGGAGGAGGAGGAGGAGGAGGAGGAGAGGAGGAGGAGGAGGAGGGGAGGGAGGGGGAGGAGGGCGAGGGGGAGGAGGGGAAGGAATGGAGGTGGAGGGGGAGGGGGGGGAGGAGGGGAGGGGAATGGGGGAGGAGGGGGAGGGGGAGGGGGAGGAGGACCTCGGCCGAGCCGCGCACAACGCGGCTTGGGAAGCGCCTGCAACGCTCGCAATGGTTGCCTGCGGCCCGGCCTGCACCGACGGCCCCGGCGGACACGCCGCGCGTGGCGCGCGCGCGTGCCTCTGCCAGGGTAGGGGGCCTGCCCACTGATCTCGAGGACGAGCAGCCTTCCGTTCGCCAAGGCCACGCTAACGGCGATGTTGTTTCACGGTGATGTTGGAAACCGAACTGTAAGAAATCACGACCCACGCTTTGCCAAATTTCCGATCTGCGGATGCACCAAACGAAAACGACACAGCGAATTGTAGGAAAGCACGAGCCGTGCATTCCCACAATACCGAGACCCACATCGCCGTCACCTGCATCGCCGTTAGCGCGTCTACGGGTTCGATCTGTTGCAGCGACATGGGTCACACCCGTGCAGGCCAGAGCGGGCCGCGGGCCGGCAGATCGTGGACCGATGCTGCCGGGAGTGCGACGGCGACGGAGAGCTGTCAGAGGTGATCCTGGTCCAAGGCACTCAACTTCTTAGAGGACCTGGTGCCATCGTGAGCGTGGTGAGAGTAGGAGAACGAAAAATGGCATAGAAACATAGAACCTCAGAGGTCCACGCGGACTTCTCGGATCGGCGCTGAACCCCCCTCCCCGGCGCGCGGAGCGCGCCAGGGGCGGCGCCGGAGGCGCCGCCAGGGGCCTGCAGCGCCGATCCGAGCGGCGCGGAACTCCGAGCTTTTATGTTCATGTCATTCTTCGTTCCTCTGGGGAGGGAGGAGGGGGAGGGGGAGGGGGAGGAGGAGGAGGAGGAGGAGGAGGAGGAGGAGGAGGAGGAGGAGGAGGAGGAGGACGAGGAGGAGGACGAGGAGGGGGAGGACGAGGAGGGGGAGGAAGGGGAGGAGGAGGAGGGGGAGGAGGAGGAGGAGGAGAGGAGGAGGAGGAGGAGAGGAGGAGGAGGAGGAGGAGGAGGAGGAGGAGGAGAGGTGCTCCTGGAGGCCGCGTGGGCCTCCCTGGAAGTCACCTCCGGCGGCGCCCCGCGAGCGCGACGTCTCTCCGCGGTTGGCGCGGGGCCGCGGCGGCACGGGGGCTGCAGCGCTCCGGGGGTCTTCGGAGGCTTTCCGCTCGCGTGCCGCGTGGGCCCAGCGAAGGCTGCGCTTGGGACGAAAGCACGGTGGAGGATAGCCCACAAGAAGCCTTCCACAAGGAGCCCAACCCTGAGACCCCAGGACGTCCATGGATTTCTGGTGTGGGAACGTCACGCTTTCCATGGCAATACCATCGAAACCTCAGAAACCCAGGGCTCTCTGGAGGCAAGCAGGGTGTTTCTTGGCATGGGCCCCCTCTGTAGCTCGGGTCAGGGTTGAGCGTGACGGTGCATGTTGAAGATCCGAAGTTGGGGAAACATGCTGCTGCTGAGAGCCTGGGATGGTGATGATGCATGCCTGGGGTGGAGATGGAAATGAGGAGGATGAGGAGAAATAGGGACAGGATAATGGGAAGGACGAGGAACAAAGCTTGAATGGGAGGGGCTTCCCTGATTGTTTTACCTGCCTTATTTCGAATGGTGGCGCGCCTGCCATACAACCTTGCGTGAACCTGTTAATATGGTGTTCGCTTTCCTCTGCACTCCCTACCCTATCGTACTCACACGCGCATAGCACAACTGAGCGAAGGCGATGCTGATGCGCGGCAGCCTCCCATCTCTACATTTTGCTTATATACCAGGGACGGCGTGCGACTCGCGAGAGACCGAATATCATGAATTGGTTTGGGTCACGGCTGTCTGTCAACATACGTGTGCTCCGAAATTGCGCTCAAGGCAAGACGTACCTGTCACAGCACGGGCCCGCAGATGGTTGCGGATGACGTCAGCCACTTCTTTTGGAACCAATGCGCAGACCAAGTGGCCAGTGGCCCCTGCCCTGTAAGCAAGCGGGAGCAAATCAGCAGCACACCACGCCCCGGCTCGCGCCGGCGACAGGACACCCTAGGAGTCCGAGGCGCTATCCACGAGAGAGAGGTCGAGGACGAAGACTCGGCAGAAGATCGTGGTGAGGGGCAACACTGGGGGGGGATAGGGACGGGGGGGGAACAGACATCGACCTGGAATCGGCGATACGTCGCCGACAGATCGGCGACAGGCCCCCGATAGTGAAGCCGTACGTTCCTGGATAGGTTGGGGCCATCGGGCCCCTATCAGCGATCAATGGGCAACTGGGGGTCGAAGCGTCCCCCCGTACAGTGGAGGTCCGACCACAAGAAACCTTCCACAAGAAATCCAACCCTGAGACCCCAGGACGTCCATGGATTTCTGGTGTGGGAACGTCGCGTCTTCCACAGGAAGCCGTCGAAACCCAAGAAACCCATGGCACCCTGGAGGCAAGCAGGGTGCTTCTCGGTATGGGTCTCCACTGTATGCCTATCCCCCCCATCGTTGCCCCTGACGTGGGCGGGCAACACATTTCCAAGGCCTCCCGGTCCGGACTCCTCGGCAGCGGCACCATGCTGGCCATCGCTCGGACGTCCATGACCTGTGTTTTTTTTCTGTTTCGTGCGTGTTTTTTTCGCCAAATGATCAAGGATACTCCTCGATGGTCCTCGCCGGAGGAAAATGCACACGTCCGAGCGATGCCAAGCATGTGGATGCGGGGCGGCGTGGCGCGGACATGCCCTGCGCGAGACGTGATCCGCGGCCTCGCGTGTGCAGAGGATCGCTCCTCGGTGTCCAGACCGCAGGGGCATGGAATGTAGATGCCTCTCGTCACTCGTCGGGGGACACGGGGGAGGAGGACGAGGAGGAGGAGGAGGCATGGTTGCTGGCACGGGCTGCGAGGGCAGGCAGCGGTGGGACGTGGCCGCTCCGCTGCAGCGCTGGCACCCCGCCGCTCTCCGAGGCTAGGGATTATGCACCGGCGCTGCCCGTGGACCTGTGTCCCAGAGCCTCCTCCTCCTCCTCCCGCTCCTCCTCCTCCTCCTCCTCCTCCTCCTCCTCCTCCTCCTCCTTCTCCTCCTCCTCCCCCTCCTCCTCCTCCTCCTCTCTCCTCACCCTCCTCCTTCTCCTCCTCCTCCTCCTCCTCCTCCTCCTCCTCCTCATCCCCCCCCTCCCCTTCCCCTCTCCCTCCTCCCTCTCCCGCCCTACTCCCTACTCCTCCTCCTCCCTCTTCTCCTCCTCCTCCTCCTCCCACTCCTCCTCCTTCTCCTCCTCCTCCTCCTCCTCCTCCTCCTCCTCCTCCTCCTCCACCTCTTCCTCCTCCTCCCCCTCCTCAACCTCGCGAGGCAGTGGACACTGAAGCTCTTGGGCCCCAGGGGGGCAGAAAGAGATCCAAATCCACCGCCTCTGAGACCGCAGGACACCGGCTGCCCAGGCCTTGGACACGGTGGGGATGTTGCACACGGAGCCACTGAATAAGGAAGCCGGGGTCTGGAACTCCGTGAACCTCCAATTGTGGATATTGCCGTGGACATCACTGCCGCCCTCATCAGAAGGGACCCCACCAGGGTCTGAGGCCTCCTGTCGGGGGCGCGCAAACATGATTTGGCGCGCGGTCGCCAAATCCATGGATCGGGGGAGAGGCCCTCCCCGAAATGCGGCCGGTGCCGCCTCGCTCGGCGGCGGAAACCAGCGATGTCCCATGGAAACGGGACCCGTCGCTAATCCACGCCCCCTCACTCCATGTCTGCGATCGCTTGATCCTGGGCACATTCCTTAACGAGCATCCCAATCGTATGTGCGAGCTCCATCCCAAACGTTTGGCGAACGGAGCTCACATACCTCCAGCCGCGGGAAGCTGGGCGGGGCGGGGAGAGCAAGGCTGCCTAACCAAAAACTTCGACCTCAGCAACCTGCTGGGGAGGAACGAGGGATGGAGGAACGGTTGCGGGAGAAGAGCAGAGAGGATGCGCGATAGAGAAGCGAGGCGGCAATGGGGAGTGATTGAGACAGGATCAGTCAGCATCGACACGGGGAATCATATCGGATCGGACAATTCATCGAACCAGGCCGCATCGGCACGGAGTCGGCATCGAATCGGATCCGCCGCGGCATGATGCGCAACGACACCATGCGAATATCGGCTCGCAGCGAATCGTCGGAATACCGGAGTCGCATCGGACTGGGCCGGCCGAAATCGATATCGAATCGGACTGATCGGATCGGGATGGGCCCTGGGAGGAGGGAGGTACAGGGACTGATGGCAGAGGGGGGATCACCGCATCACCTGAGCGCAGCTGGTGTTGATGCCGCCTCCCAGCGCTGCCAAGATGGCCCCATCGTGGCCCCCCATCACCGCCCCCCATCGTGGCCCCCATCGTGGCACCCCATCGGGCCCCCCATCGCCGCCTCCCATCGTGGCCCCCCATCGCGTCAGTGTCTGATGCTTTTGGCGACGAGCTTTTGCCGCAAGGGTGCCACTTCGCAGCGTGGCTCCTGAAATGCCCGGGACCGGCTTCCAATACGAAGCAGTTTGTTGCGCGGTCTCGGGGCCCAGTGGGCCCAGTGGGGACTGCCGGAGGCCAGAAATGTGCAGAGGCGTTCCGTCGTGACCTTGCTCACGATGCAAAGGGGTCTGAGTCGTCCCTCTGGGCGCGGGCGGCTCAAGCGGCGGCCCACAGGCGTGTCCTCTGGCGATTTCTGGCCAGGACTTCCGGGCGGACCCAGCTGTGGCGACGAGGGCGTTCCACGACGACCACCAGCGCCCAACATTCGAGCAGGGGATCGACTACAGAATCGATGTGCCCCAAAAGCGTTTTTTTCGCCAGATCTACAACAAATGCACAGAATGCTCCGTTGATCTACGAACATCTTATTCATGTTTACAGGACTCGGCTGAAACAATATTTTTGTGTACATTGATTGTGGTCAATCTATGACTCGAAAAATAAAATCTCGAACCCCGAACAACGCGAGAAGAGGGGCGAAAGGGGGACGGAGCCCTGAAGGCTGCGCCCCGGAAGAGGAGAGATGAGAGTGCTGCACCCGTCGGCCTACAACGGGAGCTCGACCCCAAGAAACCTTCCGCAAGAGACCCAACCCTGAGACCCCAGGACGTCCACTGCTCTCTTGGTGTGGGAACGTCACGCCCTCCACAGCAAGACCATCGAAACTCAAAGCACCGAGGGCACCCTGGTGGCAAGCAGGGTGTCTCTTGGCATGGGTTTCCACTGTTAGGGCGACGAGATCTATGCATATCCACTGCTCCTGGCCAGGCCCATCCTGGGCCCAGGAGCGGTGTATACGCCCTCCTGGCCTGGCCACGGAGGCATATACACAGCTCCTGGGCCCAGGATGGGCCTGGCCAGGAGCAGTGGATATGTATAGATCTCGTCGCCCTAACTGTACGGGCTCCGCACCTGCCCCCCCGGCAGCCCGTCATCCTCAGGACTGCCTGAAATCCTTGCCGGCGTAGTACGCGCGTCTTCCCAGCTGCTCCTCGCGGCGGCGCGCACGACCGAAACGAGGGAGCGCGACAGGCCTCACCAGGTTCCGCGCGAGACGCCAGGGAGGGTTCTCGTGATGTTGGTGTGGTCCACGCCTGCCGCTCGAGACCTCTACCATCCCCAGCTCGGAGAGGCATCATGGACTGCACGGTCTCCCCTGGGGCCATAATTAGGCGACCCGAGGAGGAGGAAGAGGAGGAGGAGGAGGAGGGGGAGGAGGAGATGGAGGAGGAGGAGGAGGAAGAAATGGAGGAGAAGGAGGAGCAGGAGGAGGAGGAGGAGGAGGACGGGTCGCCTAAGCCTAACCGTCTATCATGGACCCCCCTCAATGGAGATGGCCCCCCTGATGGCGCCTCTTCTGGCAAGTACGGGTGGCGCTGGTGGGCCGGCCTCCGGCTTCCAAGAAACCTTCCCAGAAGCCCGCGATTAAGCAAGCTCGACCGTGTCCGACATCGAAAATAAAAAACCCGTATCATGAGGATGCGCAATAAGGATGCACAGGCCTTGGAAGGCCATTTCGAAGCTTTTCGAGCGGGGCGCGGTCAACGAAAGCGGCCAAGGGTGTACCGAGGAGGCAACGATGCAAAGGTACTCTTGGGAACCCTGCCCATCCTTACTATGCGGGTTGACTGTATCGTCGGAGAGCTGGGCAAGAAGCTCCCGCACCTTTTAGACCCCCCCTTTGGTGAGCGCAACAAATAATCACACTGCAGCCAGGCAACCTCTCAACCCCGGGGGCCGAGGAGAAGGGAGGAAGAGGAGAGGAGGAAAATAATCTAAGAGGGGAGGGAAGGAGCAGGAGGAGGAGGAGGAGGAGAAGAAAGGAGGATGAGGAGGAGGAGGAGAACCAGTGTAAACCCAGGAGTCATCAACGATGTTGAAACGACCTCCCCCCTCCAAGCTACCTCTGCATAGGCCCCTACAACGTTTCATTTCCACAGAAGGAACTGCCTCGTTGGACGACAGCCATTTGAAGAGCCTGAAGCGTGCGACAACATTACTCCCGGGACGCCAGCGCCACAGACCAACCTGACTGTTGAATATTGACAATCCTGACTCGCGTCGGAACGCCATTCCTGGGATTTGAACACCGCGAATCAAACTAACGGCTGCGTCCTTATAATCCTGAGATTTATCAAAGAGCGATTTCTGGTACGTTTAAAAGGGGATCCCGTAAAATGATTGGAAGTGTTTAGGACGAATGTGCGTGGCGATGAAGGCGAACACCACACTTTGAAAAGGAATCGCCCTCAATACGTGAAGCTCTTGCAAATGTTGAACACGAATGTGCGCGGTGCTAAAGCGAGAGCCACACTTTGAAAAGAAACCGCCCTCAATCCGCGAAGCACTTGCAAATGTTTGAAACGAATGTGCGCGGCGCTGAAGCGAAAACCACATTTTGAAAAGGCACCGCCCTCGATCCGTAAACATAATAACGAATGTGCGTGGTGCTAAGGCGAAAGCAACATTTTGAAAAGGAGCCGCCCTCAAAATCTGAAACTCAAGGCGTAAACTTTAGCACATGTTTAAAACGACTGTGCGCGGCGCTAAAGGGAAGGCCACATTTGGAAATCGACCCGCCCTCGTTCTCTGTTAACGTTGCTAGTGTTTGAACTTCAGGGCCATAAGTGGTAACGAAGTCGCTGGCGAAACGCCCGGCCTGCCCTTTCGACCAGCCTCGGGGAACAACAGGGGGAACTTATTCAGAAGGAAAGGGAATGGAGGAGGGGAGGGAAGGAAGGATGAGGAGGAGGAGGAAGAAGAGGAAGAGGGGGAGGAGGAAGAGGAGGAGGAGGAGGAGGGGGAGAAGCAGGGCCAGGATGGGGAGGAAAGGGGAGGGAGGAAATTGATATTTTTGTGTATATATATATACCGATGTAAATTGAGATTCCCAAATCACTGCTTGCACTGAAGGGTCTTAACAGGAATTGAGGGCCTTGGAGAAAGTACCGGGCCGATTTCGGTAGGCGGCCACACTGCCGGGTTCCAGATTCCAGGTTCCCAGGTTCCAGGTTGCTGGTTCCAGATCGATTTTGGTGTGCGGTGGGGTTCCCGGGTTGCCGGGTTCCCGGGTCCTTGGTCGATCTCTGTATCGATCGGTCTCACGATCGATACCACTACCCACCCCTTTATCGATCTCACCATCGATCCCACTATGGAGCGCACGAGCGATCGCACGATCGATCTCACTGGTTCCACGTCACGATCAGTCTCACGCTCGAACCTCCTATCGCCCGTACGATCGATTCGACTATCGGTCTCACGATCGGTCTCACAGTCGATCTCAACAACCATATCCCGAATTTTCCAACCATCCGCTGATGGGGTTTGTTGGTGCAGTACACTCAAACTAAATAAAGCGACAGATGTGTGTGTATACACACACACATATATATATATGTGTGATGTTCCCGCTGTTAGAACCAACGTGGCACCGCCTTGCCTCGGTCAGCGGTTAGTGCAAGGAGGAGGTCGGGCGGGCTCACTCAAAAAGTGCCACTGACGCCCGCCGCCGCCACCAGAGAGCACTGTCCCAGATGGCGTCGACTTTCCACGGCAAGAGGGAGAGACGCCCCTCCCCCAAAGGGCGTCTGCATCTCCGCAGGAGCGGGAGACGATACGCCGCCGAGGTGTCGGCGGGAGCCGACCGCAAGCCTCAACCATACTGGAAGCCCTCTAGCTCGAAAAGACGCCGCGCAGATCGCAGAAAATCAATCGGCCCGCTCGGCGCAAAGCGCGCCCGAAGGCCTCGCCCCCCAGGGCATGTCGAATCAGGCCCCCCCCCCTCCAGCGACGACCCAACGTCGATCCGCCTTCACTTTGCCGCTGCAGCGCCTGCGCCTCAGGGTCATCCTAGCCCTGGCCCAGGGCCCCTGGGGGACAGGGCGCACTCGCAGCAAGCCTTGCAGCGCCGGACCCATTGACTCCAGGCCAGCGCGCGGACCTTGGCCCCAGGAGGTGGGCCTTGGCGGCGCTGACGGGGTTCCACGGGGCCTGCGGCGGGGCCCCCGATCGAATCTTCGAAGTCCCCCGTCCGAGCCGTCGCCCTCGCCGCCAGACTGGGCCCGAGCGCGAGGCCAGGTGGCGCTCGTCTACTGGGGGAACGCCTGCAAATCAGCCCTCGCCTCGGCCCGGCACCAGCTCGTTGGCCCCCATGGACGTCGAGAGACGCCTGATGAGAGCCTCCCGCTGGGCCGCGGGCGCGGGCCCGAATCCTCGCAAACTCCACATCGCCGTCCCCGGGGAAGGAGTCCTGGAGCAGAGGCCAGACGCGGGCCCAGAGGTCAGCGCGGGGCCGGTCGGCAGAGCGGCGCCACTGTCGCCCGCGCATCGAACGCACGATGGCCGCGGCGCTGTCCATTCCTAGCCTGGGCAGCGGGGCGGCGCGCTCGAGGCCGCTCGACAGCCAGTGCAATGGCGAGGAGAACAGACGCCCGACGCCGAAACCACTGGAGGGGGCGCGGAGGGCATCCGAAGTCGGACTCGCGCTCCCCCCGAGCAGGCGCGCCTTGGATGAGCGGATCCTCCGGGGGGTGCTCGACCAGACCGCGAGGGAAGAGGAAGGGCTCCGATGGGGGAGAGGCTTCAGCTCGACGCATAAATCTCCAGAGATCCGCTGCCTCGGCCGCTTCGGCTCCGGCAGCCCCTCGGCGAGAGCGGCGGCCAACTCCGAGCCCGCGGGCCCGGCAGGGGCCGTCGCCCAGACCCCGCTACTACAGGACGACCCACAGCCTCAGCAGAACCTACAGCCGAAGCCCGACCCCCCGACCGTCTCCGACCTGATGCAACCTAGCGACGAGGACATCTGGAATGCATCACGCCACGGTCGACATATGGACCAGCAGCTACCGACTTCAGGGCCGATTGGAGTCGAGCCGACCAACAACACCACTACATGGCAGCCCAGTGGAAAGCACTCACCGAGGAACAGACCGACGATGGCAGGACCGCGCAGTGCCAACCATACCCCCGCACACACACACACACACACACACACACACACACACACACACACACACACACACACACACACACACACACACACACACACACACACACACACACACACGCGTACCACACGGATGCCGAGCGAAAGCCGCGTCCCAGCCCGCAGGCGGACACCACGGCATTATTTACCAGAGCGACCACCAGGAGACGGACAAAGAGGTCTTTCCATTATACGGCCCGGCCAGTGGAAACCCTGGCCGACTTTCGCAGACGCCGTCGAAGCGAACGAGCGCGACCAGCACGACGCACCTACGGCGAATCAGGAGACTCCCCGCTGATCGCCCACAACGCCGAGGCACGCCTCGCAGAACCTTCCCCTCCTCCTGGTTCGCCTGCTTGCAGCCCCGTCCCCCCCCGCCGCATTCAACCAATCTCCTAAACTCCCCCCTCTTGTGGTGAGGCAGGAGTGGGACCTTTTGGTGTCCTGTGGGGCGCTTCGGGGGGTCCTATGCGCAGAGGGTGGGGCCTCTCTGCCATCTGCCTTGGCGAGCGCGGCTCGCCGCTAGGTTGAGAACGGCCACCAGCCACCGGCAGGACAACGTGAACCTCCATTGCGCTCGGTGGAGACCCCCAGGAGGCCCCGAGGCATGTGTTCACCCTCAGGAGGAGGAGGAGGAGGAGGAGGAGGAGGAGGAGGAGGAGGAAGAAGGGGAGGAGGAGGAGGAGGAGGAGGATGAGGATGAGGATGAGGATGATGATGAGGATGAGGAGGAGGAGGAGGAGGAGGAGGAGGAGGAGGGGGAGGGAGGAGGAGGAGAAGGAGGAGGAGGAGGAGGAGGAGGAGGAGGAGGAAGAGGAGGCGGAGGAGGAGGCGGAGGAGGAGGAGAGGAGAGAGATTTAGCCGTGTGCCCTGAGAACGCCTGCGATGGGATCCTTAGCAAAGCAGCTGGAAGGGGCCTGTGCGCCTGCCCCCTTCGCAGGGGGGGGCAGGGCGGCCCCCGCCCACCTCTGCGCGCTCGCCGCCTGCCTGACTGGCCGCCTCACCCCCTGCAGCGTCTCACGCGCTCTGCCGCCCTGTGCCCGCCACGCGCCGCCACGCTGCCTACTGCCCCAGCCCCGCTCCTCACCAGCTCGCCCGTGCTAGTGACCATGGTGCATGCTGATGACCGTTCCTCCTCCTCCCTCCCTCCTGTCTGTGGGGCCCTGGCCGTTCGGAAACGGGAAACAAAAGGAGGAGGAGGAGGAGGAGGAGGAGGAGGAGGAGGAGGCGGAGCGATTACCAAACGCCCACATGACTGCTTAGGAGCAAATCCAGAACCTTCGACGTCGTGGTTTTTAGTTACATGCTTCGACCGCTGGAGATTAGGACCGTTTCCCCGTGGCCAGCTTCTCATTCTGAGCCCGTCTCTTGACAACACCAGGGGCCCCGCGAGGGCCCCTGCAGGGCGAAAATCGGTAAAGACCTCCCGTGGGCCCCGACGCAGCGAAAAAAGCACAGCATCGTGAAAATCATACAGGAGTCGCATTTTTCTAGCTGGATCGATCTGGGAGGGTCACCCGGCCTGGGGCCCGAAAACGGGCGAACGCGCCCGGCTCGACAAGCACTACGACGCCAGGACCTCGGTGCGTCGTGTTCTGTGCTCTCTGCCACGGCGCGGAGAGCTCTGGGCCTCGTCGCGCGCCGCACCGTCCTCGATGCGCAGCAGCTGGTTGTACTTCGCCACCCGCTCGGAGCGGCACGGCGCCCCGGTCTTGATCTGCCCGGTCCCGAGGCCGACGCAGAGGTCGGCGATGAAGGTGTCCTCCGTCTCGCCGCTGCGGTGGGAGACCATGACGCCCCAGCCCTCCCGGGGGGAGCCCGCGGCGCGCCCCGACCCCCGAGGTCCCGACGCGCCTCCCTCTGCTCGAGCCGGGCGCCTTCTCTCGCCCGGCTTCGGGCCCCCGGGGCCCTCGCAGCTTCGCAGCTCGCTGCGGCCTTGAAGCAACCGGTGCAGACAGACGGGGTCCAGGGCTCGGGTCGTGATCCTGGGCGATGTGGCACTGCTGTTGGCTACGTCGGGTCTCTGGGAAGGGGGGAAGGCGAAAAGGGGGCGGCCTCGTCAGAAGGCCTCCGGCCCCCTGAGAAGCGCTCCAAGCCTTCTCCGAAACCGCGGAGGGCTTCTCAGAAAGACGGAGGGCTTCTGAGAATCCCCGCCGCCTTCCGGGAAACCCTGCCCCCTCTAGGAGGAGGAGGAGGAGGAGGAGGAGGAGGAGGAGGAGGAGGAGGAGAAGGAGGAGGAGGAGGAGGAAGTGAGGAGGAGGAGGAGGAGGAGGAGGAGGGAGAGGGAGAGGAGGGAGGAGGAGGGAGGAGGGAGGAGAGAGAAGGGACGAGGGAGGAGGACTTCTCGCCTCAGCGCGCGCCGCCGAAGGGTCAGGCAACAGCGGCTAGAGAAATCGGATCTCCTCGCGTCGCCCCAGCCCTGCCAAGACCAGTCATCCAGTAGGAAGTCGTCCCCATAACTAGTTTACACTGGCATTCATTCTCTTGTCGGACCCACGGTGTATATGTATAGATATATGTCTATAGACACGTCGAATGCTCGTGAACCTACAACACGAAATCCGTGCTTTGCACACGCGACGACAAAAGCAATCCTGGGTTAGATCAAGGCTGTCGTCGACCCCCTGCTCGAGGTCCCGCGGCGGGGTCCGAGGGCCGGGGCCTGCGGCTTCTCGTCTCCCCCGGAGGCTCCGCGAGGGCGGGGGCCCTCCTCGAGGTGCTGCTGAGGACTCGAGGTGCTGCTGAGGACTCGAGCAGGGCATCGTCTACAGCATGCACGTCTGGCAAGTGGATCCCTCGAGCTCTCCGCCGCCTCTCCGCCAGGGCTTTGCTGTGCTCCTGCTCGTTGACGCGTGTCACGCGTGCGGAGCTACACTGTCAGTGCCGCGTTCTCTTGGGGCTTTGCTGCGTTCCTGCTCGCAACGCGCACCGCCAGAGGCGGCGGAGAGCTTGAAAGATCCACATACCAAAAATTACCCTGGACTTGAGTTGCAAGTCGGAAGTACAAGCAAATGCGCACGTCGATCATAGGTCTACGCGCATCAAGCATAGTTTACTCGCAATGCGCTCCGTAAGGGCGCGCTGAAAGCAAGGACGCGCTGTAAGTAAGGACGCTCTGTAAGGACGCAAGGTCCTTGGACGGTCCTTGGACGCCCCAGTTGAAGCTTCCCGAGCGGCGCACTGCCAAACAAATCTAAGGACGCAAGGGTGCCCTTGGGAAGGTTATCCGTCCTGGCTATGGATTATCACTGTAGATCTCGTCTATAACATCTGACTTACCCCGGAATTGATTTCCTCGTCGAGTATACAAGCAAATGCGTTCAATCGTAGATCTGCGAACAATGCACCTATGTTTCGTGGCCTCGACGACAGACTTCATTTTTTGGTAAAACAACAAGTCTATAGACGATTCCCTACTCGAAGAACGCGCCCAGGTGCATGTCCGCTGGTCGACCGATTTTCGACCTCCAAACCCGCAGGGCTGCTGTGGGAGACCACGACGCCCCAGCCCTCTCGGGATGGGGTGGCATCGGATCGGGAGATCGGATCGCCTCACTTCGCACGAGAATCACGACATCCGGTTTCTGTTGTCAAGTGCCGGGCTCTGGTACCGCCAGGTAGCGACTCAGGCTGAAAAGCTGGTCCTAGGGAAGGGGCCGAGACCTCCTGGGGTCCCTGCTGTGCGCCTAAGATCATAAACTCGGTGAGATCATGACCTCGGAGGTCCGGGGAGAAGAGGAGGATGGAGGGACGATGGGTGGATGGAGGAGGGAGGGAGGAGTGGCGAGGGAGAAGGGTCAGCATCGAATTTGGAGATGGTTTCGAGTCGGCACATCGGCATGAGCATGACCTTTCTGAGCTTCTTGCGAAATCTTGGGGTCGGCGTCGGACCCCCACTGGCGGCGCCGATCCAAGAAATCCGCACAGAGCTCGAAACGTTCACGTTGACGTATGCATTTAGTATTGCTCGGACCAGTGGATCGGGAAGACAGATCGGATCAGGACGCGCGCTGGATCCAGCCGCATCGGCACACAGTCGGAATCGGAATCGAATCGGGTCGCCCGGTCCAAGATGCACAGCAATGCCAAACGCTCATCGGGCCGCATCGGGTCGCAGGGATGCTGGAACCAGGTCGGAGCGGCAAAGATCGACGTGGCCCCTGCCTCCGCGACGCTGTCGAGGCTGGCTTGGATAGACTCGGTAATGGAGCCAATCTGGTTCACCTTGAGCAGCAGAGCGTTGGCGGCCTTCTCCTCCTTGCACTTGGCGATGCGCTTGGGGTTCGTCACGAGCAGGTCGTCACCGACGATCTGCACCTCCTCCCCCATCTCCGCCACCATCTCGGTGTACGCGTCCCAGTGGTCTTGGTCGAAAGGGTCCTCGATGGAGACGATGGGATATTTGCTCACGATCCCCTTGTACCTCGTGGTGCCAGCGGACGGGAGGGACTGAGGAGGGTTCGCTGTCAGGGAGGAAGCAGGTGGAGGGGGAGGGGGAGCAGGAGAGAAGAGAAGAGAAGAGAAGAGAAGAGAAGAGAAGAGAAGAGAAGAGAAGAGACAAGACGAGAAGAGAAGGTAAGATAAGAAAAACTAAAGGAAGATCAGATCAGGAAAGAGAAGAGAAGATAAGAGAAGATGGCATAAACTAAGAGAAATGAAAATAACGGAAGAGAAGAGAAAATCAGGGAAGATAACGGAAGAGAAGAGAGGATAAGGGAAGATAACGGAAGAGGACAAGGGTAGGAAGTAAGAGAAGGAGCGTGGGGGGCGGAAGAGGAGGAGGAGGAGAAGGAGGAGGCAGAAGGACGAGGAAAAAAACGGAGGAGCAGAGCCATCGCCGTCGAGCATCGGAAGGGGTCCCTGCCGTTCTCGTGTACTTGTGAAAGCAGCAGAAACCTTTTGACAAGCAGCCCGGCAGCACGGCAGTTGTATTCCGTCGTGAGGCGCGTGACGTCCAGACGAAGACAGGCGCTCGCAGACAACGCAACTGGCCCAGGTGCTGCCAGTGACGTCAGGCGAGAGGGGCTCGATGACCCGACCTACAAAGGGGGGGAGGCTCGAACAGAGCAGCCAGTGTTAAGTCGGGCCTGTCCCCCGACATGGGAATCGTGGACGCCAATAAAAAAAAAATCGTGAAACAAATGCCCTAAAATCGTCCCCGGACTATTTTTTAGCTATCTTTGAATATTCCTCCTGTAGAAGGACAGGCCCGACTTAAAACCAGCGCCCGCCGCGGGTGACACTGCCACGCCCGCGTGGGGCCGCAAGGCCGCCTGGCACACAGAGCATCGCAGGGCCGCTGCAGCCACCTCCTCCTCCTCCTCCCCCCCTCCTCCTCCTCCTCCTCTTCTTCTTCCTCCTCCTTCTCCTCCTCCTCTTCCTCCTCCTCCTCCTCGAGGCAGGGGGGCACCGCAAATGGAGGAACAGTGGGAGCAGGTGGTGAACAGAACGAGAGCACCACCTGGAATCGCAAGAGCTGCGTCGTCGATGTCTTTCTCCAGCAGCGTCTTGTGCGCCACAAGAGGCAGGCCATAGGTCCGTCACACGTTACGAACGCGGATCAGATTCTCAAGATCATGACGCCCGACGAGCGTAGGGTCCTGCATGCGGCATGTCTCAGAGACGTGCTTCGGGCCCGCGCGCGACCTGGGGAAGGGAAGCACTGCCACGCCTCCTCAGCTGCACTCACCTCCGGCGTGCTCCATCGTGGCCCACAGTGGTGGGCGAAAAACACATCCGTATCCGTATCCGCGGCCTCGCGACTCGTGGGCGAAAAACATGACCGTATCCAGTTCGTTTCGCCCACGATGCGTAAGCGAAACACACATCCGTATCCGCGGCCTCGCGGGCGGGGCCCCTGGGCCGCGCGCCTCCGCGGATACGCGGCGCTTTGTTCGCAGATGCCCCGCGCGGAACGCATCGGTGCGACCGCGTATCCGCGGGATCGCGCCCAGAATCCACCGCGCAAGGGTACGGATATATATATATATATATATACACAAATTTATGTACACCTATATATATATATATATACATCCATACATATAGATATACACCTTATACATAAAGTGTAGATATACATGTATATACATATATATATATATATATATGATATGTGTGCATGTGCACATGTATGTGTGTCTCTGTGTGTGCATGTGTGTGCGTGTGTGCGTGTGTGCGCGTGTGTGTGTGTGTGTTTGCGTGTGTGTTCGCCGCCCGTGAACCCAGGGGGTCCCAGGCGCCACCCTGAGGCCGCACGGCGTCTCAAGAGAAGCCGCTGCTCTCGCCACTGGTGGGGTCACCGCCGCAAGTGCTCTGCGCATCGCCCGCCCCGTCCGTGAAGAGGCGGGCCACGGTGCCGGCGGCGCGGCGCGCACGAACTGCAACCAGCCCAGGACTGGCACCCTGGGCAGAGCGGCAGTCTCTCGGACAGCTCCCAGCGCGCGCGGCTACCGGGCCAGTTTGATCTGCAGCGTCCGTGTCGGCCATCTGCGCCCGCACTGTGAGGTCGGGGCGGTGGCGAAAGCGGTGTCTGTGCGCCGCCCGCCCCAGGCCCGAGTGAGAGGAGCACGGTGTACCCCGAGCCCCGCGTGGAAAAACAACCACCTCAGCGAGGCCATCGCCTCGGCCCGAGCCGGACGCCCGAGCCAGACGCCCCGAGGGGGCTCCGCGGCCCGCCGCGCGGCCGCGGCCCCACCCCGGGCTGGCGGCGCGCGGGCCCGAGCCGCGGGGCCGAGTGCTGCCGGGCGGGGAGCCGGCTGGCCGCGGCGGCGGCTCGGGCGCGGAGGAGGGCGAGGCAGGCGAGGGAGGCGAGAAGGGGATGGCCAGGCAGGCGAGGGAGGCGAGGGAGGCGAGGGAGGCGAGGGAGGGAGGGAGGGTGGCAAGGGAGGGAGGCCGGTAGAGGGATGTGGAGCGTGGCGGAGGAAGTCGTCCAGGCCTCCCCACTCTCCCCGAGCCTGCTCGGCAAATCCGTCGACCAAGACTATGTTGGGGAGGCGTCGCTGTCCACCCACTGGTGGGCAGCTGGGTAGCAAGCCTCACCGCATCGACGAGAATGGGAGTGAGGGAACACCCTGGGAATACCGTGAAGGGCACAAGTCGCGCATACAGCTCTCTCACTCTGCCTGCTGCTCCAGCCTGTCCTGCTGGCTCCCGCAAGCCCCCATCAGGCCTGCTGGCAGCAGCGGCTGCGGCAGCACGATCACGGGCCTGGCACCATTCCCTCCAAGCTAGAGTCGATGTCTGCACCGCCTTGGAAATGCCTTTGGGGTGGGGCCACAAGCCTCGGATCAAACGCGTTAAGTTCTGGTTGTGCTTCGTTCGGTGGAAGGACGTGGAGCGTGGCAGAGGACATCGTCCTGGCCTCCCCGCTGTCCCCGAGCCTGCTCGACGACTCTTTCGAGCAAGGCTCTGTTGGACCACCCACTCGCAGCCCTGATAGGAACACATGATCGCTGGACAGCCAGCTCCTTCGAACTAGCGAGGCGGCCCTCAGTAATGGGATGGTGCACGGTGTCGCAGCAGTAGCATCCGAAGACGCAACGCGAGCCTAGCCACTGAATCCGACTGCGCAGCGTCTTCGGCTGCGACACTCTCGACGCCAAGGGAGATGATGAGAGGGAGGGATGACGAGGGAGAGGAGGGCTCGGGCCTGGAGGGAGGAGGAGGGAGAAGGGAGGTGGGGAGGGAGAGAGCAGGGGAGGGAGGGAAGGCGAGAGGTGCAGGAAGAAGGGTGGAGGAGGGAAGTGAGGAAGGGAGTGGGGTGGAGGGAGGAGAAAGGAGGGGCGAGGACGAGGAGGGAGGAGGAGAGAGGAGGAAGGGAAGAGTGAATCCCTGGCACCACTCCATCATCTCCGACTTTGACTTGATGAGCGAGGGATCTGGCTCCGTGAGCTTGAAGCCAAGGTTGTAGGTCTGGTCCTCCTAAGAAGGAGGAGGAGGAGGAGGAGGAGGAGGAGAATCTTGGTGTAGAGATCCCCGTCCACTACCCGATCTTCCCTCCTCCTCCCCCTCCTCCTCCTCCTCCTCCTCCTCCTCCTCTGATCCTCCTCTTGTCCTCCGAAGCAGGATGAAGGGGATGATGATGAGGAGGTGGAGGAGGAACAAGCAGACGAGAAGAAGAAGGATGCCTTGACATAGAACTCCGACGCGGCGATGTCCATCGCCAACTTCACCTTGCCGTCGTGGCCGGCGTCCTGGATCGCTTCCATGAGAGCCATGAGCCCCTCGTCGTTGTCCTGGATGTTGGGAGCGAAGCCACCCTCGTCTCCCACTGCCGCGGCGTCCTTCCCATATTTGGCCTTGACCACCGCCTTCAGCGAGTGGTACACTTCGGCACCTGTCCTCAGAGCCTCCTTGAAGGACTTTGCCCCCGTGGGTGCGATCATAAACTCCTGCATCGGAAGCTTGTTGCCTGCGTGCTCTCCTCCATTGATAACGTTCATCATTGGCACCGGCATCTTGTACCTCTTCTTCCTTGCTTGCCCGACGTCGACTGCACCAGGATCCAAATTACCATCCTTGAGCTCCCGGACATACTCGTACAACTCGAGGCCGAATGCCTTGGCTCCACCCCGCGCGATACACATGCTCACAGCTAAGATCGCGTTTGCGCCCAGCTTTGCCTTCGGATACCCCCACTCGTTCTCGGAGCCATCCAGCTCCTTCACCATGAACTCGTCCAGCTCCTTCTGCAGGCGAACGTCCTTGCCCTTCAGCTTCGGGGCGATGACCTTGTTGATGTTGCTGACGGCCTGCTCGACGCCCTTGCCTAGAAGGGGAAGAAACGGCCCAATCGTCAAACGCACGGAGGTCCGCACAGGAAACCCGCACAGACCTCCGAAAGTTGAGGCTCAACCGTTCCCTGCCCTTCGATCGCCCTTGTAGCGCTTGCCCCCGTCGCGCATCTCCAGCGCCTCGCAGGAGAGCCAAGAATCGAATCGACAAATCGGATCGGCAATCGACATGAATCGTATCGGCGGAAATCGGCAGCCGAGCTGGAAGAGTCGAATCGGCGGAAATCGGCAGGCCAGCATGCCTCCAGTGAGAAATCGGAAACTGTCGAAAACGAATCGACTCGAATCGGAGGGGTCGAACTGAGCCCTGGCCTCGTAGATGCCCGTGGACGCGCCGCTCGGCACGATGGCGCGCACGGTCCCGTAGCCGGTCGTCAGCTCGGCCTCCACCGTCGGGTTCCCGCGGCTGTCCACCACCTCGCGCCCCACGACCTCGAGGATCAGGGCCCGCTCGTCCTCGGCCAGCTCGCCCGAGGTGGCCTTCCTTGAAGGGGCCCAGGGACACACAAACAAATAGTAAACACGAATCCCAGGATTCCCCATAATGTTTCCCCATGTGTTCTAGGCGTTCGTCTCCCCCCCACCTCCCACGTGTTCCGAACTTTTCCTGGGAGTCGTCGATTGATTGCGTCTGTGTGTTTCTTCCCCTCCTGACTCCTGCCGCCGAGGAAGCCCACGCCCTCGGCGTCGCCGCGGCGGCCGGCGAGCCAGCAGGCCAGTCCCAGCAAGAGCGCGGAGCTCAGCAGCGGCCGCGCGCGCCCTGCTCGCGCCATCGGCCCTGGACTGCCGTGCGCTGCTTCAGAGGTGGCCCTGGCCCGAGGGGTTCCCCCTGGCCATCGCTCGGACATCCATTTCCCTGTGTTTTTTTCGGTTTCGTGCGTGGTTTTTTCGCGCACTTCCGAGCGATACCAAGCCCCAGCTCTTTGCCCCACTCTGGGGTCCACGGGACCCTCTGGGCCTCGCGGAGGGTGCTCTGGAGGCCATCTGGGCCTTCCCGGGGACCCTGGGGGCACGTGGGCGGCGGAAAGAAACGGGTCTCAGGCGCGATGGCATAGCGACCTTCTTGTGAGCGGTGGCTCACGCGGGCCGCCAGCGCGGCAACGTGAACGAGAGCACTTATGCGCGACATTGCGCGGGCGGCTTAAGCGGGAATGTCAGTGCAAACGACAGACTTCTCTGATTCGATCACCTTGGCCACGGACACCTTTGGCAGCACCCGATTCTCCGAGCGGCAGCGGCCTGCCAGGCAGCTCGAGTTGGGGGAAGTGCTGCGGGGCGGGGGGAGAAGCTGTGTCCTCCAAACGAATCGCGGCGGGCAGCCGCGCCATGACGCGAAGCTCGGGGGGGGGGCCACGATTGGTCCCTGAGCGGGTACCATTTGCGAGTCAAGCCTTTCTTTTGTGCGCAGGTCCGCCGGCCATCACAACAAAAACAAACTCGTGTTAAGTGCGCTCAGCTGCGCGGTGGAAGAGCACAGTGATCAAGTGCAGCCAGAGTTCCGAACGTTAGCAAAGAACTCCTGGAAGATCTTCGTGGTTACGGTCAATGGCCATTGAGCCCGAATGCTGCACCCATCAACCTTGACTGAACAAAATTCGGATCAACGTTGAACCGGATTGACCAGGATCCTACCGAACTAAGAGTGGGCAGCGGATATACCAGCGCCGATGCTGAATTGAACCTCGAAGGATTTGCAACCGAGTGAACGTGCTGACAAGCATCCACATTTGATATTGGCGGCGCGCACAGGGGGGTGGAGGGATGGGGAGATCCCACCAGCCCTCTATGGTTTAGGTGGTCTAGAGCGTTTCCTCTTCCAACCCCCTTCTTCCACTTCGGGGAGGGGATTACCCCTCCCCCCACCCCCTCCCCTGGACCTGGACGGGGGCGGTCGCGAGCCGTCAGAGCGTCCAAGATGGCCCAAGACGGCTCCAAGATGACCTCCAAGATGTGCATACACGCGCATATAAATGCGCATCACCATAAATGCGCATCACTCCCGATACCCTCCTATGCATGTATATCTACACATACGAATATATGTATATATATATATGTATATAGACATATATATACATATATATACATATATATTTACATACATACAGATTTGAATACACACGTGTTATATGTATGTATCCCTCTCTCTCACTCTCTCTACTCCGCTTCTCGCATTCTTTCTTTATTATAGCGGTTTGGTTCTCTCTTCCTCTCTCTCTATCTCTTCCTTTTCTCTCTCCCTCTCTCTCTCTCTCGCAATCTATATATATATATATGTATCGGGGGCTGGGGATTGAGATCGCAATGAAACGGGGACCCCCCAAAACGGGACATCGGTCTCGGATTCACGCTCGTGTCGCGCCTGCGGGCGAGGCGAAGCTGCGTGGTTGGGCGAAGCCGAACCAAACGTTGCGGTCCCCGGGTTGGCCAACAACGGCCCTGTGGTGTCCCGACGGTGTCCCGTTGGTATCGGGAAGGTGTCCTAATGATGTCCCGATGGTGTCCCGTGGTGTCCCGTGGCGCGGGGCTAGTGAGATTGACAGTGCGATCGATAGTGAAATCCATGAAGTGAGATCGATCGTGAGATCGAAAGTGAAATCGAGAGTGAGATTGGTAGTGTGGTCGCATGAGTGAAATCGAGAATGAGACCGATAGCGAGATCGACAGTGAGATCGATGGCGAGATTGATAGTGAGATCGACAGCAAGATCGATAGTCATGTTGACTGAGTGGGATCGATAGTGAGATCGATTGGGTGAGATCGATAGTGAGATCGATAGTGAAATCGGCAGTGAGATCGATAAGAAGATTAATAGTGATATCAATTGAGTGTCATCGATTGAGTGTCATCGATCGTGAGATCGATACTGGCATCGATGGTCACATCGATAGTGAGATCGATACTTAGAGCGATCGTGAGATCGATCGTGAGATCATTCGTGAGGTCGATCGTGCGATTGATGGCAAGACCGATAGTGCTATCAATAGTGTGATCGACAATGACATCGATAGTGAGATCGATGGTGAGATCGACAGTGAGATCGGTAGTGAGACTCGAGACCGATGGTGAAATCGATTGAATGGGATGGATGGTGAATATGATAATAAATCGACAACGAGATCGACCGGGCTCCCAGGACCCCGTGAAGCAAAAACTGAACCCTGAGAACCCCGCCGCCCACCGAAACCGGCCCAGAACCAGCAACTGAGAACTGGGGAACCTGGAACCGGGAACCCGGGAACCTGGCCGCCTACTGAAATCGGCTGGGAATTGTCGCCATATCTTTCGATTACACTGAACAGCCCCAACGAGAGGATGGTTTGCAAATTACTGCTAGGGATGTTGAGATCGATTGTGAGATCGCTCTTGAGATCGATAGTGGGATCGATAGTGTGGGCGATAATATGGACGTTCTTGAGACCGATAGAGCAGTCGATTCAGTGAGATGGATCGGGAGATCGATCGTGAGATCGATGGTGCGATCTATAGTGAGATTGATCGTGGCATCGATGGTGAGATCGATTGTGAGATCGATCGAGAGGTGGGTCATGAGATCGATGGTGAGACCGATCAATAAGGAGATCGACCAAGAACCCTGGAACTCGGGAACAATCTGGGAACCCCTCCGCCCATCAAGATCGGCCCGGAACCAGCAACCGGAAACTGAGATTGGGACGCCCGAAATGGGTACGGAAAGAATGGGTACAATGCCCAACAACAAATGCTGTGCGCGCCGTGTCACCAACGCAGCGCCCGACGTCCGAGCCGAGCCCCGTTCGGCGGCTTGCCCGGGGGGCGAGTGAGAAGGAGAAGGCCTTCTCGGAATGCGGCGGGGCTCCTCAGCGGCCCCCGCGCCTTCTGAACAGTTTTGGTGGCGTCTTCGGGGAAGGCTCCGGACACTGTGCACGAGGCCACAGAACATCCGAACCTTCTGAGAAGGGCTGGCCCCCTCTCATCGCCCCCTCGTCCGAGCCGAGCCCCATCCCCGGGCGTAGCTATTACAAAAAAACTAAAGCACATAAACATAAACTTTCGGCGCTCCGCGCGGATTTCTTGGATCCGCGCTGTGCCCCCCTCCCTGGCGCGCGGAGCGCGCCAGGGGCGGCGCCGGAGGCGCCGCCAGAGGGGCTCCCAGCACGGCTCCGAGAAATCCGCGCGGAGCGCGACAAGTTTATGTTGGTGTGCTTTTTGCTAGTCTTCGAGTGGCGGGGGAGGGGGCCCCCTCAACCAAGATGAATAGACAATCTCAAGGCAACGCAGCAGAAGTCTGCGCACTCGCTGTTTTATCAGCCCCCGCCGCCCCTCCTCGCTCTGTCCCCAGGGCCGCCAGCGCCGGCGTCGCACGCCTGGCCCTCCTGCGCGCGGGTCTGCGCTGGGCGGGGCGGCGCGGGTCTTCCGCCCGAGGGGGCCACGAGGGCACGTCGCGAATCCTCGTCGTCGTGCTCCTCCGCCCTCCTCCTCCTCCTCCTCCCTCCTCCTCCTCCTCCTCCTCCTCCTCCCTCCTCCCTCCTCCTCCTCCCTCCTCCTCCTCCTCCTCCCCTCCTCCTCCTCCTCTCCTCCTCCTCTCCTCCTCCTCCTCCTCCTCCTCCTCTCCTCCTCCTCCTCCTCCTCCTCCTCCTCCTCCTCCTCCTCCTCCTCATCCTCCTCCTCCTCCTCCCCTCCTCCTCTCCTCCTCCTCCTCCCTCCTCCTCCTCCTCCCTCCTCCCCCCCCTCCTCCTGCTCCTCCCTCCTCCTCCTCCTCCTTCTCCCTCCCGCTCATCCTCCTCCCTCCCGCCACATCCTCCTCCTCATTCTCCCTCTCGTGCACCATCTCCACCTCCTCCTCATCCTCCTCCTCCTCCTCCTCCTCCGTCTCGTACTCCTTCCTCCTCCTCAACTCAGCTCCTCAGCTCATCCTCCTCCTCACTCCTGCTCCTCCTCTTCTACGCTACACCGATGTTGATCGAAGCGCTCGCCGCGACTGTCTTCATCATACTCCTCCTACCCCCGCCCCCCCGTACGTTTCATTCTCCTCCTGCTCCCTCCCCTACTCCTTCGCAACGCGTGCCCTGTTCTGTCGTCATACAGGAAAGATGCTATAGCTAGTTGGACTTAGTCTGGGGAGCTTCAGTCTGAGGTCGGATTTGACATCGCTGACTGTCCTTATTGCTTTGCTGGGTGCGCCATATTCCTATTATTAATAGTATTAGTACTATTATTAGTAGTATTAGTTCGTATTATTGATAGTAAACACAAGATTACTCTTCTTACTGTTATTAGTAGTCATATTAGTCATCCTCTTCTGTTCTTCCTCATCTCATCTTTCTTTCCCTTCCATTCCCGACTTTCCGCCCGCCGAGTAACTAGGGCACGCCGTCGTCCTCATCTCCCCATGAAGCAGCCGAGAAGACGACCGAAGCCGATGGTCAGCAAGCAGCCTAGAAGAAGCCATCGGCCCAGCAATCGACCTAACCGACCAAGTGAAGACTGCGACGCAGCCGAACCGATCAAACAGCGGACACCCTTGTTTCCTTCCGCCTTCCTTCCTCCTCCACCCTGCTCACTAGAGGCCGCTAGGTCCACATAGGCACAGAGAAGGGGAGGAGGGAGAGACGATGACGAACACCTGAAGGAACAATATCCGTCTCGAGTCCTGAAATGATGTAGGACCGGCGTGCAGCCGAAGATTCAGGGTCGCCCCTGCCCCACTAGCCAACGAAATCACTCCGACGGTTGGGCCCCATATGAGAATCTGTGTTGCTTGCCCCTCGCCCTTTTCCTCTCCGACTGGCGCAGGCTCTCCTCCCACTTCTGCGTCCTCCTCCTCCTCCGCATCATCATCCTTCTCGCCCTACCCGTTACATGTCTTATCCTCCTCCTCCTCCTCCTCCTCCTCCTCCTCCTCCTCCTCCCTCTCCTCCTCAGATTCCCGTCATCCTCCTCGTCCTTTTCCTCATTATCCTCCTCCTCCACCTTCTCCTCCTCCTCATCTCCATCCCACCTGCTCGAGACTTCCTCCATATTCAGGCCACAGGATTCATAAAGCCATAAGTGACGACCCTTACAAGACTCCGATGAATTGAACATGAGGTGCGGGCCCCATAAGGAATAGGCTCCCGCTTGAGACACCCTTGCGATTCACTCACAGAGGAGGCTCCCGCCTGAGACTTCGTCAAGATTCAAGACTGAGGAGCCCGAGCGTGACGACAATTACAGGATTTGCATGACCCTCGGAATCGAACATGAAGTACGGGCCCACTAGGGAAGACGGCACCCGCCTGAGGATTCCTCAGCTCGCGTCTGAGACTTCCTCTATGCTCAGGCCTGAAGAGACCAAACGTGACGAAGGTTAAAGGATTTGGGTGACCCGCTCGGATTCGAACATGAAGTGCGGGCCCCAGAGGGAGGGGGCTCCCCGCGATTCACTCACAGACGAAGCTCCATTTTGGTCGATGCTCATGATGGGATGGTGATAATGGTGAATGTGTGATGGTGCTGAAGGTCATGGGTATTGCTGGACAGTGATGTTGGGCTGATGATGGTGGTGGTGAGCGATGAAGATGGTGATGACGATGATGTTGGAGATGGTGACGATGATGATGGTGGTGATGATGATGTGATGGTGGTGATGGTGAATGATGACGGTGATTATGACAATGATGTTGGACGGTGGCGATGATGATGATGATGATGGTCCTGATGCTGATGTGTGAATGGTGATGGCCATGGTGATGGCGATGATGATGGTGATGAGTGTGCGAGCGAATGTGAGTGGTGATGACGATGATGATAGTGATGTTGATGAGGAGAGGGTAATGGTTGATGGCGCGATTCATGACGATAACACGACAACGGACTATGACGTGATAGTAATGACTGAGTGGGTGGTGAGTGACTGTGACTGCGTGAGAGTGAGGGTGAGTGGTTGGTGATGATGATGGCCGATGACATGATGGGACCATGACATTGTAGCGAATGGGTGGGTGATGGGTGAATGGGCGAGAAAGCGAGCGGGTGATCATGATGATGGTGATCATGATGGGATGGTAATGACAAGGCACTGCGGACTGAATCTGCGTTGAAGCTGCGGGGAGAGACAGGAGGAGTAGGGTTGGGAGGAGAATGGGGGCGAGGTCCGAAGATATGCTGTCAATTTCTTCATTTCATCGGCCACAGTGTGTGTGTGTGCGTGTGTGTGCGTGTGTGTGTGTGTGTGTGTGCGTGTGTGTGTGTGTGTGTGTGCGTGTGTGCGTGCGTGTGTGTGTGTGTGTGTGTGTGTGCGTGTGTGTGCGTGTGTGTGTGTATGGGTGTTGGTGCGTGCGTGTGTGTAAATGTGTGTGTGGTCGGGCCCGGACACGTCGGCGGCGACGGTCGGCAGCCCTTTCCGGGACACAAGCGCTGGCTCCTGGCCTTGCAGGGAGGCGGGGCAGCGCGACTACGCTGCTCTGAGGGCCCGTGGCGTGCACTGTGGCAGCAGTCGGCCGCAGCTCCTAGGGCTCCCAACTTCGCGCTTCGCGCTCCGCGAAGCGCGAAGCGCGAATAACTTCGCGCCCTCGCGCCGCCCCCCCAAAGGGAGAAAAGGAGGACGAGGAGGAGGGGGGAGAAGGAACGAGGACCGCGAAGCGCGAAGCGCGAATAACTTCGCGCCCTCGTGGGAGCCCTTGCAGCTCCAGCCCCCGAGGCATGGCGGCAGGAGCTGGACGGGCTGCCGCGATTCCTGCATCGGCCGCCCTGGACCGCCGATTCCGTCAGCTGGCTCTTGCGCCGGATGCCAAAGCGCAAGAAGCCGGGCCTCGACGCGTGGACGGTGACGGAGTACCGCCCTCTGCCAGCGGAGCTCTGCGCGTGGATCGCCTTGCTCTACACGAGGAGGTGGAGGAGCAGGGGGCATGGCCGAGAGTCGGTGGAGCCGGAGGGGCTGCTCTTCCCGAAGCCTGGAGGTGGTGATGGGCCGTTGAGTCGTCGGCCCATTTGGCTTCTCTCCATCCTCGATCGTCTCTGGGCCGCTCGACGCACGCGGCTGCTCGCGCAGTGGCGCTGTGGCTGGGAAGGCGAAGAGTGGCTGGAAGGCGCTGGGGAGCTGGCCTGGGAGCTCTCGCTCGAGCTGGAGGCGGCTGACGCGCTGAGCGAAGGGATTGCTGGGGCGGCGCTGGACTGGCGGAAGGCCTACGACCAGGTCGACTTGGCATCATTGCCACCACTGCACGCACGGTCCAGGTTGCCTGGAGGGCTGGCCCGCCCAGCGGTCGCCGCCTGCAGGGCCCCAGTGGCGGATTCGTGTCGGCGGGGCCCTGGAGGGGCCCTTGGGCCCCTTCCCGCGGGCTGCTCCCTGGATGCCCGCTGGCCGTCTTCATCCTGGCCGTCATCACGCTTCCCTGGAAGCGCGTCACTGGCGGGATCGACGACCGGCTCTGTCGGCGCATCTGTGTCGACGGCGGCGAGGCCGCGGAGGCTGTGCGGAGCGCGCTCCGCGCCACCGAAGCGTTTGATGCGGCCATGGGTTGGCCGCTCAATCGCGCAAAGAGCAAACAATTCGCCCGCGCTGGGGCATTGCGGCGATTGCTGGCCGAGCTGACGCCGGCGATCCAGGCGCGCACTGGCTTCCGCGACCTGGGCGTCGCCGCGATGGCGGGCAGGAGCCGCCGCTGCGCTGTTACTGCTGACCTGGTGCTGGGAGCCATCGTCCGGTTCGGCCGCGTGGGGCGCTTGCCAGTGCGACTCGGGCAGCGCTGCTTGCTTGGCGCCGCGGCAGGCACAGCTGCCGGCCTGTGCGGGGCGTCGCGCGGGCGCCCGCCAGCGCGCGAGCTCGCCCGACTGCGGACAGCCGCGCGGCAGGCAGTATATGCAGAGGAGGGCGCCGCGCCGCCGCCGAAATCGTCTTCGGCACTCTCGCCCCGAGCTGGCGCCTCGACCCCCTTGCGGTGGTCGTGATGGCGCCGCTGTGGCAGGCCGCCAAGGCGCTCCGCCGCCACCAGCTCCCGGCCGAGCTCTGGCGCGCTGCCGCGTGCGCTAGGGAGGGCCGGCCACGGCCGCGGCACGGGCCCGATGGCCGCCGCGGCTCGCAGCCTCGCGGAGCTGCAGCTTGGGGCGGACCTTGAGGCCTGGATTGGCGTGCCCGCCGCTCCTGGGGGCTGGAGACCAGCGGACCGCGCTCTCCCGGACACCCGCTCGGTGCTGCTATGGAGGCGTGGGCGCGGCGGGAGGCTCGCGTCGTGGCGGCGCGGCGGGCGGACCTCGCGCACGTTTCTGGTCGACCGTTGGGCCGCTCAGCGCTTGCTCGACGACGCCACGCTCGCCCCCGACGCCGGGGCGATCCGTACCGTTTTGTCTGCGAACGTCCCGACAGACGCTGTGCCCTCATTGCGGCGCCGCCTGATAGGCAGCACCGCTTCTGGGACTGCCCGAAGTGGTCCAGGGTCCGCAACTCAGCGCTCGCGGCCGGCGGCCTGTCAGCGGCCGCCCTGAAGGCGCGTTTGCCGCCGGGCGTCGCAAACGCGGGCGTGCTCCCGCTAGACGACGGCCTTGCTGCGCTCGCCTCCGCTGCCCGCGTCGAACCCCCAGCGCCGCCGCTGCCCGCGCAGGCGCTGCCGCCAGGCGGAGCCGCGACGCGGAGCAGGGCTTGGACTGACAGAGCCTGTGAGCACCCCACGGGTCCGTTGCTGGCTGGGGCGTTCGCCTGGAAAGCCCAAGGGCGGCGCTGGCCGACCGTCAAGGGCCAGTCGAAGGGCTGCAGACCGCCCAGCGCGCCGAGGTCGCGGCAACGCTGTATGCAGTGAGCCCTGGAGGTCATCACCGATTCATGAGCCTTGGAGCGTCCCCGCAGGGATGGGCTCACGCCGACCTGTGCGAGCAGCTCGCGCCCCACTACCGCTCGGGCTTCCTGGTGGCCCGATGGGTCAAGGCCCACCTCGATGCGGACGAGGCCGCGGCGCGCGGGGTCTCAGAGGAAGACCGCCGCAGGAACGCTGCCGCTTAGAGGCTTGCAAGGGAGGCCGCAGCCGCGCGGTTGCCGCCCGCTGGTGTCTTGCAGGGGCGAGGGCTCCAGCTGCACGCGCTCACGGTCTTGCAGGAGATGCCCGCCGACGTGGAGCTTGCGGCTCTGAAGGCGAAGCACGAAAGCACTGGCCCGGGCGGGCCCCGCATCCAGCGCCGCTGGGCGGGACCTCCACGACGGCGCGTGCCCCCGGAAACGGACGACGCCGCGGCAGCGGCTGCGCCGGCGCCGCCAGAGCCGGCCGGCGCCGGGCAGCGCCAGGGCGCCGCGCGGCGAGCTCGCGCACTGTTCGCCGGCCGGGCGAGGGTCCATGCACGTGGCCGCGCAGGGGCCCGGCTGGGTCGCCTGCATCCGGTGCGGGTGCTGGGCCCCGAGCTGGGTGCGCCTGGCCAGCCGGCCTTGCGCCAGGTGGGCCCACGCGCTGCCGCCGAGGGCGGCTGGTCTGCTGCTGGTGGCGCCGCAGCGGGCCGGGGGCGCCGAAACCGAGCGGCAGGCGGCCTTGCAGGAACGCCTGGCGGCGCGCCCCGGCGCGCCCCGTTAATGTTCGCCGCGCGGCCGCGCTGCCGCGCTGGGCGGGGCGGCGGCCGGGGTGCGCGCTGCCGTAGCCGCTGCTGCCCCTGCCGTCTGCCTTCCCTCCCCTTGGCGCCCTCCTTGTCGGCTTCGTCGGTCGTTGCCTCACCTACCGCTGGGCCCCTCCGCGATGGTAAACAAGTGTGTGTGTGTGTGTGTTGTGTGTATGTTTGTGTGTGTGTTTGTGTGTATGTGTGTATGTTTGTGTGTGTGTGTGTGTTTGTGTGTATGTGTGTGTGTGTGTGTGTGTTTCACGACTTGCTCGGCCTGCGGATGCCGCGTCTCGGGCGCCGAGGCCGTCAGTTATCGATCCAGGATGAGAAGCTGGCCCGGGCGGACTCCAAGAGGGATCTAGGGGGGTTCGATTGTGGAGCGGACCTGGAGGGGAGGGGAGCAGAGGAGGAGGGAGGGGGGAAGGAGGAGAGGAGAGAGGACCCAGAAGACGATGACGAGAGGGAGAGAGCGTGCCTCGCCCGACGTGCGCTACCAGGGACGAAGGCTCCAACTGATCGCTCGCGGACCCCAGGCCGTGGGGAGACGAGGCTCAGGGACTGGAGCAAGGACCGACCGTCCCGGCATTCCAGCAGGCCTACCACGAAGTGTTCCTGAAACCCGGAGACTTTCTATTCGGGGATGGACAGACCCCTTTAGTAAAACGTGGTTTAGTGAAAACGACCTGAGGCCAAAACCTGGCGGGCGCAAGCCTGGAAAATAATGGCCTCGGCGCCCTCTCGAGAACCGAAAACGGACAATTCACGAATCGACATGTCACTCTGTTGGGGGTTCTGTCCACCCCCGATCTATAGACAAAAACAGTGTTCTCAGAACACGGACGGGACGCTTCGCCACTGCTTGAGGGGTCAAAGCAGAGCCGTGAACGCGTCGAGGGCCCGTGCGGAGGGCTGAGCCGGGCCCGGCTGGCTCTCTGCGCCCTGCCGCCGAGGACCGCCGCGCGTCCCCCAGAGGGGCCGGCGACGGCCTGGCCTCGTGCACGCACGACTGGCAGCGCGGTCGTGCACTGGGGGAGCAGAGCAAGAAGAGAGAGAGAGAGAGAGAGAGAGAGAGAGAGCGAGAGAAACAGAGGGAAACGGAGAGAGAGGGAGGGAGGGAGCGAGAGAGAGAGAGAGAGCAGCATAGAGAGGGTTGCGCAGAGGGAGAGAGAGAGAGAGAGGGAGGGAGCGAGAGAGAAACACAGCAGCATACAGAGGGTTGCGCAGAGGGAGAGATAGAGGGAGGGAGGGAGGGAGGGAGCGAGAGAGAAACACAGCAGCATACAGAGGGTTGCGCAGGAGGGAGAGAGAGAGAGAGAGAGGGAGGGAGGGAGGGAGCGAGAGAGAAACAGCAGCATAGAGAGGGTTGCGAGGGAAGGGAAGGGGCGCGATGTGGGCTCCTCTGATGGTCCGAAGAAGCTCTCCAAGTCTTTGAAGAGCCTCTCGTCACCTCCCACGTTTCACTGCTTCTCATAGCCAAGCATCCACCCTTTCGCTCTTGTCACATGCGTCTCTGCTCTTCGCTCACCTGTGTCAAATCATCGAATACCTAAAACGTGCTGCCCGTTCGAACAGACAGCTTCCCAATCATCGTCCGCATCGAATCGAGATGGAACGCGACCTACACCCAACGCGGGCCACTCGACACCACTCGACGAAAATTTGTGCTTCACAACTGAACCGCAAAGCGAATCCACCAGCTGCCAATTGAATTGACTCCAGCACAGTCGGCATGAATCGGAATCGGGAGAACAGGAGGAGGCGTCAGAGGAGAAGGGAGAGGACGAGGTAAGAGGAGGACCAGAAGGGGAAGGCGGAAAAGGGAGTGAAGGTAGGGAGCAGGACGAGTAGTGCGGTAAGGAGGATCGGGGAGGAACTAACGACCACCAGAAGAATGAGGAGGTTGAAGGAGGAGACAACAGGAGACAAGAGAAGCTGCAGGAACAATGGAAACGTCAGGCAAGAGCAGGGGGTAAGAGAGAGAATAGGATCAAGCTAGGTGCACTCGCGCATCATCTGACACCCTATCCCACCATCCCATCCCTTCCCGTGGCGCGAATCATTCTCCATCTGCGACTTACACAGACGGATCACTTCGTGTACTGCGCAATCGGAAAATCGGAGTTGCGTGTACAGGAGGAGGAGGTGGTGGGTAAGCAGGAGGAAAAAATGGTACGAATAGCAGCAGGAACTACTTACAGCGGAAGGATCGAGAAGGAAAGGACGACCAACGGAAGGAAAGGAGGACCAAGGGAAGGCGAAGAGGAAATGAGGGGGGCGACAACGCTGAAGAAAGACTCGGATTCAGAAAAATGGCCCGCCCTGGATTGGGACGAACAGCAGCAGCAGGAACTGGAGTGGGAGGCAGGAGGAACAGAGGGACCAGGGGAAGGCGGAGAAGGGGAAACGATGGGGGGTAACCACCATAAAGCAAGACCCCGATCCAGACAAGTAGCCCGCGCTGGGGCGACAACGCCTCTGTTCGCGAGGGGAGCACTGCGCCGATCCGAAAATGAGGCCCACGCTGCAGCGCGAGCACCATTTTGAAACACCTGGATTGTGAAAACCATCGGACAATCAACTCCTGCAATCAAGTGTGCAAAAAACAGCAACACGCGGAAGGGGCGGGAGATCTTCCGGACAACTTCAGGGGAGGGAGGAGAGTAGTGTTCATGGTGCTTACCTGTGGAGCAAGAACAGCAAGAGACAAACAAACGTGATACCAAACACGGGGACGAGCATGAGGATGAGAAGGGTGACCGACGAAGCAGGCAATTTGAGCCAGGACGTTCATTGAGGACCGCGCGTGACGCTCGAACGCTCCAGCTGCTCCCTGGTCATCGTGGTCGCCGCCGTCGTCGTCGTCGTCGCTGCCGTCGTCGTCGTCGGCGTCGTCGTCGTCATCGTTGTTGTCTTCCTTGTGCCCTTTCATTTCTCTCTCCTGCTCCTCGCCCTCGTCACCTACCTCCTCTGTTCCAGCCGCCAGCGAGGGTGGTTTTAATGGCGGTGGTGGAGATGGAGACGGTGGGACTGACGATGACGACGGCGATGATCACCACGACTAGTGCTTCTCCGCGACGATCGGCTGCGCTGGGTCCACGCTGGGGCGCGACGCGGCTTGACGCCATGCGATTTCCCACAACTGACGGCTCTGGTCCTGTCCGCGCTGGGGCGCGACGCGACGCCGACGGACACGGCGCGAACGTGTGACGCCATGGGAGTTCCCACAACTGGGATCGTAGTCGGAGCCTCCTGTAAGGTGCAGTCCTAGACCTGGTAGCGCTGTCAAATCTCTCCTGGGGCGGTACTCAAAGCTCCAACATGCCAATGCAATTAACTTGAATCCGCTTTGCCAAGATCGAAACCGGAGAAATCCGAAGACGTCGAAATCTGTCCAAATCTGCTGCTCCCACAGACGGGGAACGCAAGGGGTATAATGCGACGGAGCAGAACGTGAAGGAAGAGGAAGGCGGAGGAGACGACGAATGGGTGAGGAAGAAGGGCAAGCGGCAGGAGAGTGAGAAGAGTGAGGGGGATGAGGGACGAGAGCGTAGGATTAAGAGGAGGAAGACTAACAACGGATGAGTTTAGATAATGGGGGCTAAATGCGATAGGAGTAGGTGTCGGGGAAGGCAGAGCAGCAATGTCGGCATGGGACGATGAGGAAGGGGAGGATGAGGACTGGCAAGACGATGAGGAGCATGCAGAAAGGATGGGGAACAAGAAACGAAACTCACGCCTGAGAGTGGCAGAATATACGTAATGTATTTCGGTAATGTGTGCGTGGTGTTCTTGTTGCACAATTCGTTAAGTAATGAATTTCGCGTAGTGAACAGTCGTTTTTTTTTGTTCGAGTGGAATTCGCGCATTCTGTTTCCGCGCATTGCTTCTGCGGAGTGGTCCCGTACCGTGTGTTCCATGATCGAACCACGAGCCTGGAAATGAGTTTAGAACTGCGAGGTCTGGGGACGCTTCCAAACACCTCGATCGGGCGATGGGCAATGGCCATGCTGTAGATGTAAATGGTGACACTACCGTGCCAAGGGCTGCCTTTTGCTTCTCTGCGCTGTGGCGCGCCGCATTTTGACATGCCAGATGGTGCGCCACGTTGTGTATGTTCGTCATGTGGTTGCGTAGTGTGTGTGAATCGTGTTTCTTGTTCACGCAATGCATCTGGCGTAGCGGACGGACGCAATGCTCTCTCATGGACAAAACGCGCAATGTTTCCGCGTAGTGTTTTGTGTCACGTGCCTCCATGATCGACCCACGAGCCTGGAAAGGGATTCAGAACTGCGAGGCCCAACGACGCTTTCAGGCACCTCGACTCGGCGATGGGCCGTGGCAGTGCTGGAGATAGCAATGGCGATGCTACTGTGCCAAGGGTTGTGGTGTGCTTCTCAGCGCTGTGACGCGCCGCACTTTGACGCGCCAGAAGACGCGCCACGCAATGCATTCTCGAAGCGCATTTGCGTAGTATGCGCGGTGTTGATTTGCGTAGTGTACTTGTGCCGTGCTTTTACATAGTGTATCTCGCGTTGCAAGTGGGCGTGCAATTCTCGCGTGGCGTTAGCACATGCTGTTTGCGCGTACGTAGTGCTTTCGCGTAAGGTCGGGGGGGAGGGGAGGAGGGGAGGGGGAAGAGAGGAGAAGGAGGGTAAAGGAGGAGAAGGAGGGGAGGGAGGGAGGGAGGAGCAGGAGGAGGAGCAGGAGGAGGAGCAGGAGGAGAAGGAGAAGGATCAGAACTGCGAGGCGTGGGGACGCTCCCGAGCAGCTCGACGGGGCGATGGACAGTGGCAGCGTTCGGGGTAGATGATGATGGCGCTACTGTTTTTTTTTTTGGGGGGGGGGGGACGACCGCGACGCACCACATGTACTCTCCACACCGCCTGCCTGGCCCAACACAAACAACTTGGGCTCACATATCAAGGCAAATGCACGTGTCACGGATTCGGTGTACGAGCAGTAGCACGAGCAGTAGCAGTAGCACGAGCAGTAGCACGAAGATAGATGATGATGGCGCTACTGTGGCAAGAAAGATGTTGCTCTCCTCTGCGCTGGACCTGCCAAGGGGCGCGCCACGTAGTGTATGTGCTTAGTGTACGAGCGTATGGGAGCTCACGTAGTGTATTTTGCCCAACGGTTGGACGTAATGTTTTCGCGTGGAGCTAGCACGTAATGTTCCGCATCATGTTTTCGCGTCATGTGCTTCCAAGATCGACCGGCGAACCTGGAAAGGGATTCAGAACTGCGCGGCCTGCGGGCGCTTCTCAGCACCTCGACTGGGCGATGGACAGTGGCAGCGCTGGAGATAGCAAGGGTGATGCTACTGTGCCAGGGGCTGCGCATCTTGACATGCCAAAACACGCGCCATGTAATGTCTTTGCGTCGTATATGTGCGTCGTGTGTGTCAGCGTATCTCGTGTAGCGAACGGGCGTAATGTGTTCTCGTGGACTTAGCACGTATTGTTTCAGCGTCGTGGTTTTACGTAGTGTGGACACGTCGGTGTCTCCATCATCGGCCCACGAACTTGGACAGGGATCCAGAACTGCGAGGCCTTGAGACGCTTCCAAACACCTTAATTGGGCGATGGGCTGTGGCAGTGCCGGAGATGCAAAATGGTGATGCGACTGTGCAAAGAGTTTCGTTGCGCTCCTCTGCTCTGGGCCGCGCCGCACTTTCACATGCCAGGGGACGCACCACGTGGTGTATCTGCGTAGGGCATGTGCGAAGCGTGCCCGAGTCTCTCGTCAGCGCTACCCGACTCCGCAAGTTAGCGAGCCGTTGGAGCACCCTGCGCTGGCACACCACTCAAAACACTGCATGCAGACACTACGCGCGAGGGACAGAAACGCGCGCAAACACTACGGCCGCCCGCGTCTCCCGTCAGCGCCGCCCGCGCGCGCAGAGAACGCGCCGCTGGAGTGCTGCAGGAGCGCCCTGCGTCGCCACGCTGCTCGAAACACGACGTCCCGAAAACACCACGCAGAACAAGAAGCACACACACACACGCGTAAACACTGCGGTCGCCCGCGCCTCGTGTCAGCGACGCCAGGAGTCCGCAGGGAGCGGGCCACTGCAGCGCCACGGGAGCGCCCCGCGTCGGCACGCGACCCGAAAACACAGAATGGAAGCACTACGCAAACAAGGAATACCACGCGCCAGCACTGCGGTCGCCCGCGTCATTCGCCAATGTCGCCAGAGACCGCAGTGAGCGAACCGCTGGAGCGCAGCAGGAGCGCCCCGCGTCGGCACGGCACTCGAAGACGCCACGACAGCGCACTACGCAGACCAATGACAACCGCACGCAAACACTACGGTCGTCCGCATCTCTCGCAAGCGCCGCCCCAGTCCACAAAGAGCCAACCAGCTGGAGCGCCACAGGAACGCCCTGCGTCGGCGCACTGCTCGGAAACACGACGTACAGCACAATGCGCAAAAGAGGACAACAA